CCGAATCCTTGAAGTAGCTCACAGTGAAGACGTTGGCGCCGCCTTCGCTGGCCGCCGAAATGATCTTGGGCGTGTGGATTTCAGTGAAGCCCTGCTGGGTGAGGATGTCACGGAACAGACGGCACACTCCCGCTTCCAGGCGGAAAATGGCTTGATTCGCCGGGGTCCTTAGGTCCAGCACTCGGTTGTCCAGACGCGTGTCCTGATTCACGCGAATATTGAGACCTTCGGCATCGTCGGCGGTCTCGGGCCGCGACGCGTCCTCGATTTGCAGGGGCAGTTGTGCCTTGGCCTGGGAAATCACAAATATCTGCTCGACTGACAGCTCCACCGATTGCTCTGTGCAGGACTCAATCTTGCTGGACACCGCCACTGCCTTGGCCTGGATATCGACGATGCTCTCCTTCGGAATACTGTAAAAAGAAAAAGGTTTGTGGGTTTAGTATTAATTAATTAAAATGTTTTAAGTTTCAGTTTATACCAAGTTTGGAACATTGTTTATAATTTAAGCTTTGAGATTAAGCTTCAAAATTTCAAAAATAATATCATATATTAATAAAGGCTTGGAAATATCACAATTTCAGCGCAATTTGTTAACTAAATAAAGCTTAAGTACTTGATCTAAACGTTAACAAAGATATGCTAGCACTTACTTGCCGGCGAACTTGACCATCTGCTTGGATATGACATCGCCCACGGCCAGGATGCACTGCACCGTGCTGCTCTGCTGGCGCAGGATGAGGAAGCACTGTTTTCCCTTTGCTCGCGACGTGTGGACGCGTCCTCGCACCCAGACGAGTCCCTTACCCACCTGGCCACTCAACTCGGACACAGGGACAAAGTTGCGTTCGCTGCGCTTGTCCTTGGACTGGATCATCTCGGAGAGACCATATCGTCCACTTGCGTGATCTTCGGCAGAGTCTCCGGCTGCATTGTTGGCCGCCACGGCGGAGGCAGTCTCCGCCTTCTGCTCGGCTTTCTGTTCGGATAGAGATTAGAGGTTGTTATCAGAGGTTCAAAAATAAACGCTCGCCACGTCCGCAAATCGAAGATTCTCACCTTGGCGGCCTTGGCCAGCTTTTTGGCTCCCTTTTTGGAGACCTGCTCCCCGTTTTCCACGTTTTCTTTGTCTTCGACCATCTTGGAATGCAGAAAATCGGCTGTAAAGAATAGAGGGTACATATATACTTTACTAGGGGGCCACAAAACTAGACCGTAAACCACAGAGTTCCGATAAGCAACAGGCGAAAGGAGGAGTACGTTGTGCGTTGCGTCATGGTTTTATAAATAGACCTCGGCGGATGAAGTGCCCCATTTGCGAATAAATGACATTGGCTTCCGGGCTGCAGTTCAGTCACCCCATCTCATCCCACGGATTCCATATGTCCGTAGAATAATTCCGGGGGTCGAGGAGCTCTTTGTCAAGCGGCTTCGCACATAACCTAAACCTTGCAGACCTTGTTTCGCTTAATAGATGATGACACTCACTGGCTGCCCCTTCACTTATTGATTATTTCATTTGTGCATTTAAGTGCACTTAGCTTACCAGCTAGATTTTGCCCTTTTAATACACAAACGAAAAGATTTCACGAGCGTCGTGTACTATTGCACATGCCAGGCGGTGCAATCTAGAGACTTCTCATCGGAACTTATCGAAAAATATCGATAGGTACTTGCCAGTTTGTAGGGTGACGCACGTAAGTGCTTGTGACGTCACATACCCCAGAAATTGGATGTTCATAACCAGAAAAAAACCGAAGTACATAAATTGGACTGCTTTTTAAAAATTGTATGTGACTTTTGAAAAAAATATATTCACTTTTATAATATTACACAGGCTTTGAAGGGTTTTTAAGAATATTTGAGAGCTATAATTACAAAATTCTAGCGAAGATCATAACAAAGGTTTTTTTAATAATTAAAAAATAACCAAAGCAATGTAGGCGTTAATAATTTTTTAACAATGGTTTTGTTTACATTTTTTGTGAAATCATCCCCTTATTTGTTACCTTTTAAAAACAAAAATTCCCCCATCTCCATCGACAGTCACATCTACGTTTCGATAACAGTCAGCAGACGCATCTCTGTTCGTTTTCAGAAACAATTATATTATTCAGAAAAACAACATCCATTTGTTTGTTTAGATCAAACTAGAGCGAAATACAGAGGTAATTAGTCAATCAAAGAGCCTCATTTTCGGTAATGGTGAGGTTATAGGTCGAAGCAATCGAATTTCGAATAGTGTACTTTCCCGGTAATTTCGAGAAGCTGGTAATTGAGTGAGTCACCATTTCGCTGTGTATGCACTGTTTGCGAGAGTGGTGAACCAGCTGAACCATTTTAATAGCTACTACTAGATTAAAGCGTATTCGTTTTACGTCGAATACGTAAGATTATTAAAGGTGCTTACCATTTAAAGAGCAGCTCGAAACCCACACCCATAAAGCTTGAAAGGCACACGTCATAAGGCCACAACAAACCAAACTTTGCGAAAGTTTCCCACACAGTACGCAAGTGCCAAATTGATTGATAATTAAAGTTGCATGCCATCAACGGGTGAACCCAGAAACTGTTTACTTTTCCTGGCCACTAATTTAATTAACTAATAATTTGTTCTCATCACTATCGTTGCAGGTAAAAAACCATCGAAACAATGCAAGGTGAGTGAAGGGAGAGCAAGCCGAACTAACAGAAAGTTTTGGATCTACGTCTACTCCACAGCGGTATTCGGTATCGGAATTAGAAATCCCTACAGCGAAGGCCCTTGAGAATGTCGTGGCAAAGTGTTCCCCAGTATCCCCAATACCAAGGTTGAATAATTTGAGTTCTAAGCGCGTGTTTCTGCTTTCCGGTTAATGATCGCATGCTTTTGTTTGTCCCCCGAGGCTTGTGGGCTCTTTGAGTGCCCGTACTTCCCCGAACTGCCCTGAATTCTGATTCATTTCCATTACTTTCCTTCTACCATATAGTATTTGTCCAGTCTTATCATGGTTGTATGTACATATTTGCTCGAGAGTTTTATCTTGGTTAACCGCATCTCTTCGTCACAGCGAAGCGTTTCATTTAGATTTTACTGTTCTCTTTAGACAGATAGCTGTAGCGAAAAACTTTGGGAAACCCTTGTTTTAATAACGAACTAAAAGAAGATGTCCTACTCCACAGATCCCAACCAACAGTACAACTATGGCGGAGGCTATCCGCCTCAGGGAGGATATGGCGGCGGTGGATATCCGCCTCAGGGAGGCTATCCGCCGCAAGGTCCGCCGCAGGGCTATCCGCCTTACGCCCAAGGAGGCGCCCAGCCGTATCCACAGCCCTACGGACAGGGCCCTCCGCCCGGTGGCTATGCTCCCCAGCCGGGCTTCATCCAACCACCGCCATCCGCGGGCGGCTATGGAGCCTACGATGATCCGGAGAGCCAGCCAAAGAACTTCTCCTTCGACGACCAGAGCATCCGGCGCGGATTTATACGCAAAGTCTACCTGATTCTGATGGTGAGTGCTTTAGAAAGCCTTTTTTATTTATACTAAATGGTCTTCTCTGTTTTAGGGCCAACTTATCGTCACCTTTGGAGCTGTTGCGCTGTTTGTGTTTCACCAGGGCACCAAAGACTTCGCCGCTAATAACAAATGGCTCTTCTGGGTGGCGCTGGGCGTAATGTTAGTCACCATGCTGTCGATGGCTTGCTGCGAAAGTGTGCGCCGCCAGACGCCGACGAACTTTATATTCCTGGGCTTATTCACAGCAGCTCAATCCTTCTTGATGGGGGTTTCAGCCACCAAATATGCACCAACTGAGGTGAGTACTTTAAGATCGAATAGAAAAGTAATTTACCAAATATAAATTCAATCTCTCTATCAGGTTCTCATGGCGGTTGGCATAACGGCAGCTGTTTGCCTTGCGCTAACGATCTTTGCCATGCAGACCAAGTACGATTTCACTATGATGGGCGGCATCCTGATCTGCTGCTTGGTGGTGTTCATGATCTTCGGCATTGTGGCCATTTTCGTGAAGGGAAAGATCATCACACTGGTGTATGCCTCGATCGGAGCTCTTCTGTTCTCCGTTTACCTCGTCTACGACACCCAGTTGATGATGGGCGGCGAGCACAAGTACTCGATCAGCCCCGAGGAGTATATCTTTGCGGCGCTGAACCTCTACCTGGACATCATCAACATCTTTATGTACATTCTGACTATAATCGGCGCATCGCGCGACTAAGTTCCGCTCTATTTCCATATATTGTTTACAGTTTAGCCGGGTTTAGCTTTAACCGGAATACGAATGTTGTTGTCGCGTAATCTCATCGGTATTTACACCCTCTCCCAGTGGAGGCAATTTTCAACTAACGATCTACTCAAATACTTACGACCTATCTAATTCGCGTTGTGTTTTGCCAATTTCCGGTTTCCTTCTAGTTCTTAATGTCAGTTGAGGGTAAATGAACTTTGTTGCTTTTCGTTAAGTATGATATGTATTTCTATTCTTGCTTAAGTTGAGGTCCAAAACTAGTGAATGTTTTCAAAATTCCCCCAAAAAATATGATATATATATGTATACCAAATGATATGCCATTCAGATACACCCAAAAACAATAAATAGTCACGTATAAAAATAATTATGTGAGAATATATAAGCAACATGGCTTGCAATTGTTAAAAAAAAAAAAAAATACATCTTACCGAGTGTAATCACCAATGAATCCCGATTTTTGCAACTATGAATCAAGTACCGAACATTGTAAACCGTGCAGCGACACTGAGTTTAAAGTCAACAATAAAGCGCATCTATTTATTAAAGCCGCCACAGAGCCCAGCATTGTGGGGCTTCGTCCAGTGGTTGATCCAGTTCAACCAGCCAGCCACCACCAGATGCAACTTTAGTCTGCAGCGCGAGAGCATCGGCGACGTTTGGATTACTTCTAGACCTTTTTCGACTAACATTTGTTTTATCATTGCTTAAGTATACTTTGTTATCTGCACCACCACTGCTAAGTGTGGAGGTGTCTTCATTTTCGGGTTGGCCCCATAGCATGCGTTTGACCCGGCCACCTGTTCAGTAGTTCGTGTGATTTCCAGCAAGGCGTAGCCATAAAATGTATCACTACCAGCAAGGCAAGTACCCTTCGGGTTGGGCTAAACCATACCAATTTGGGTGCGGAAAAAGTGTTTCTAGATTAGATAATCGGTACGACTATAATATATATAGTTGACTGCAATATGCTCTCTCTCTCTGTGAAAGACCTATTAAAGTGTATCTCTCGCGAGGCACTTGCATCTGGTAGGACAGCAGGAAAGGTTTTGCTCAACACTCTGATTCATCCGTTCAAAAGGGAGAGTGCCCAACAGTGTCTAAAATTCGTATGGTGGCAATATCAGTTACTCACTCTCACCCACATCGATATGTGAATCTTATCTGGTCCGTGATTGGTGATAAGAGTCGACTGTAGACTGCCGGCTAATCTGCAGCTATCGACCGTATGGGGACACCTGGAAAGGGCGATTCGGTTTCATTAAGCTGAAGTACGCACACGTTGCCGGCAGTCGAGCAAAAGAGAGACCCATTATAACTTTAGTCATATTGATTTAACCATGAGCAGCGACAACCACTTTCAGTACGGTTAGTCATAGCATTAACTTTCCTATTTCCTTGAATTGTCTTCCAACCTTGCAGGCGATGAAACTGGTGCATATACAGATGCGGAGGCCGACAAGAGCTTCGCCTTCGATGACCAGAGCATCCGGAAGGGATTTATCCGTAAGGTCTACTTGATATTGATGGTGAGTGGAAAATTATAAGCTATTTAATTTTAATTAACTAATTAATTTTTTAAAAAAGTTTTTCAAAATCTTAGGAAATAAATAAAATGTTTTTAAGTAATTTTCAAACTCGGGTATCAGCGCTACCATTTTTTTATATACAAATATTGTGATCTCTAATATTTCTACATATATATAAAATAATTTCATAAGTACACAAAACAAGAATTCTTTATGATATAATTTTTTTTATATATATATATAAATACTTTAAAGTTCCATTTTATTGTCTACAAAATATTAATGAATTTATATCATGTTGTTACTTATATAGTAATTTTTAAAATTATATTAACAAAATTAAAAATATTTGATTTTACCTTAAATTGGCTTATACTTATACATACTAGTAATTATAAGCTTTTACGTATTATTGCTTCATAATTTCTTTTCATACCCTTAATCTATGATATTATTTGTTCTATTTTTAGTGCCAATTGCTGATCACTTTCGGTTTTGTTAGTGTGTTTACCTTCTCGAAAGCCTCGCAGGAATGGGTACAACACAATCCAGCCCTTTTTTGGATAGCACTGGTAAGTATTTACAAGAACTTATTATATAAATAAAATAAAATTTGATTTTAACACACTCTCAATTTTATAGGCGGTTCTCATTGTGACCATGATTTGCATGGCCTGCTGCGAGAGTGTGCGCCGAAAGACGCCTCTGAACTTCATCTTCCTGTTCCTGTTCACCGTGGCGGAGTCCTTCCTCTTGGGAATGGTGGCCGCACAGTACGAGGCGGATGAGGTCCTGATGGCAGTGGGCATTACGGCTGCAGTGTCCCTGGGACTCACCCTGTTCGCCCTGCAGACCAAGTACGACTTTACGATGTGCGGCGGAGTGCTGGTGGCCTGCCTGGTGGTCTTCCTCATCTTTGGCATCTTCGCCATCTTCTTTTCGGGCAAGATCATTGGCCTGGTCTATGCCTCCCTGGGAGCACTGCTCTTCTCCGTTTACCTGGTGTACGACACACAGTTGATGCTGGGCGGTAAGCACAAATACTCCATCAGTCCGGAGGAGTATATCTTTGCCGCACTGAACCTCTACCTGGACATCATCAACATCTTTATGTACATACTAACCATCATTGGATTGTCACGCAGCTAGATAGGTCGCACTGATCCGTAGTTTTCATGCCAGTTTTAGAGATACATATGTAACTTAATTGTATGTGCCCAGTGTCCAGTGACCAGTGACCATTGCCACCTTAGCCACGAAGAAATACAGAGCGACTAACTAAGCGTAGATTGTGATTTCGTTTGGGATTGGGGGTGCTCAACTAGTTCGAACCTTGTCCATCGCCGCGGTGTCCAATTAATTAATGCACACGAGTGGCCGTAATGTAATTATGTCCAATCAGCCCCTGCAGCGCCGCCAGTTCCTGGACCGGATTGGATGTGGGCAATGTGGGCAAGGTGATCGGCACGATCGTCAGTTGTGCGGCAGGCTGGCTAACGGACGGACATGGATTTCGACGAGGTGCTGCGGGAGGTTGGCTCCTTTGGGCTCTACCAGAAGGTCATCATCTGCTCGGTGCTGCTGCCGGCGGCCTTGCCCTGCGCCTTCCACGCCTATAGGTGGGTGATCCGATAGGATTCTAAAGTTTATTGAAATTCAGTTTATGAAATTACCCTACTTAAAGCAGTTCAAAGAGATTATATTGCGTATACGCATGTATAACAATGTACAAATCGAGATGCCTAAGTTAGTCGTTTGGATATGAAGTAACCCATTTGACACCTTTCTTATCATAAAATCATAATCCTGATGTAATGGTGATCTTTCAGCCAGTTATTCATAGCGGCCACTCCGCAGCACTTTTGTCGAGTTCCGGAACTAGAACCCTGGACACAGGATTACGTGCAACTGGTTAAGAATCTGAGCATTCCGCGCAATCGCAATGGAGCCTATGCTGAGTGCTCCATGTACGCTAGGAACTACAGTGATATAGTCCGCTATCTGGAATATCGAACGCCTCCGGATTTGATGCGTCAGCAGGCCGAGGATCTGCTTAAGTTGCAGCCGCAAACAGCTCGGATAGTGCCTTGTGTGTATGGATGGCACTACGACAAGTCCATCTACTCCAGTACTGTGGTGCAGGAGGTGGGTACACTTTTTTTAAATATAACAAGAACGGGAGAAGTTTATATACAGAGAGAATTCGTCGTGATCGTTCTGAAATTGAGAACTTCCAAAGTTTCAAGGTCCTAAGTTCACGTCTAGTTGTGTATATACTTTTTTTCTTCGTTTTGATTTTATTTGTGGTATATTAATGCTATTCTAGCTGTGAGCTGTTCAAGGAAAATAGTAGTAGTAAAGGCTTACATCTAATGTGGGTAAAGTTCCGGGTTCGATTCTCAGTCTAGACATGGGCTTTTTCATTAGAGCATTTTGTTAGTAAAATGAAAACGTAAAATAAATATATAACAATTAATGATGAATTATGATTGTAAAGAAACAACTATAGCATAACGAGTAAACTGAAAAGGCTCAATTCACATTTTTATATACCTTAAAAAAAAAAAAAATTCTCAGATTGAGTGCAAAATACTTGATCCATTTTTTTTAACATATACAATTTAGTATAAAATATTTTTTTTTAGAGCATAACCTTACATTTATCTTGCAGTGGAACCTGGTTTGCGACCGTAGCTTCCTGGTCACTCTGGCTTTGGTGGTTTTCGGAGTGGGTGGACTGCTGGGCAACTATGTGTTCGGATATCTGGTGGATCTGTGGGGCAGGCGACCCTCGTTCTACGCCTATCTGCTGCTCGAGATCACGGCCTGTGCGGCCAGTGCCTTCGCCTGGAACTATTACACCTGGCTGGCACTGCGATTTGTGGTGGGATTGACGGTGCCAGCGATCCTGGCCAGTCCCTATGTCCTGGCCATTGAGCTGGTGGGTCCGGAGAGGCGAGTCTTCTGCACCATTGTCTCGAATATCGCCTATTCCTTGGGCTTGGTGGTGCTGGCCGGAGTCATCTACGTCGTCCGGGATTGGAGGGAACTCAGTTTGGCTGTGTCCATGCCGCTGCTGATGCTCTTCTCCTGCTTTTTCGTGCTGCCAGAATCACCGCGATGGCTGATGGCTGTGGGAAAAACCAGGAGGGCCATGAAAATCCTCAAAGTGATGGCCAGAGTGAATGGCGTGCGCGTAAATCGAGATTTTGTGGAGCGGCTGCAGCGAAAGTTGGTCAGCACAAGGGCTGTGGAGGCGCAATCCTCGTCGAGTACCCACTACGGCATCCTGGACCTGTTCCGGGGACCCAATATGCGCCGGAAGACCCTGATCATCACACTGATTTGGTTTGCCAACACTAGTGTCTACGTGGGATTGAGTTACTATGCTCCAGCCCTTGGAGGCGACGAGATCTGGAACTTCTTTCTGGCCGGGGCGGTGGAACTGCCCACCTATCTGCTGCTCTGGCCGGGATTGAGCTACTTTGGCAGGCGATGGATCCTGTTCATCTCGATGCTGGTGGGCGGAGTGGCCTGTGTGGCCACCTTCCTCTACCCGGACATCACGCTGCTGCTCTACTGCGTGGGCAAGATGGGCATTAGTTCGTCCTTCGTGGTCCTGCCACTGCTGGCATCGGAATTGTATCCCACGGTGGTTCGTGGACTCGGAATGAGCTTCAGTTCGGTGGTGGCCATGGTGGGTCCTATAGTGATACCCATGATTAATCATATGGTGAGTGGACAGAAGGGTATTATATTATTTCTTACCCTTTTTCCGTTGCAGGGCCAGCAAATGCTCGTCCTGCCACTGATTGTAATGGGTGCTCTACTGATTCTGGGAGGATTCGCAAGTCTCCTTCTACCGGAAACCCGGAACCGGAATCTTCCACAAACTTTAGACGAGGGTGAGGCGGTGCCCCTAAGTTTCCTCCTTTGTTGCTGCGTGGAAAGCGAGCGCAAACCCAATAATATTCGAGTGAATCCCCAGAAAAAAACTATCCCGGAGGCCGGAACCCCGGTGTTCCATCGCGTGGACACTCCTGTCTCCGGACGAGCTGCCTGCAAGGTCGTTTGTAGCATATGTAATAAGGAAATGCGTACTCTTTAGTTAGTCAAAGTTTGTTTTGAATTAAAAATACCATTAAAGTTTGAAAGAATTTAAATGCTTTGATTTTTTGCCGGTATTCAATTTCTTGCCATCTGGCAACACTGTTTTTTATGTTTTTGGTGTTTGCTGTGGTTGTGAATTGAAAGAAATTTAAATTTTTTTTAAATTGTGGTTAAAACGACGATATAATAGATAGACCAGTGACATGTAAGTTCCAAACCATTTATTTGTTTTGCTTTTGTAGTCGTCAATTTTGCTTACCAATCTGGCAACGCTTTTTTTGTATAAGCTTGTATTGGTTTTACAGTGGTTGTGGAAAATATAGTTTTAATTAATTTAATAAAATGTTGTATTCGATTTTCTCAAATATATAATTTTTTTTTATTTTTGTTTTCACTTATATTACAAGATTAAACATATTTTTTTTACATAAACCATATAATTCTTATTCATGTATTGTGTATATATTTCGTTAAATCGAGTTGGCAGCCCAACCGGCAAATTTAATTGGATAAAAAATCAAAACAAAATGGAAAACCAATTGGGCTCATAATAAACATCAATTAAAGTTCCATATTTTCGCAGTCCCAAAGCATCCATGTTCTCCATATGACCTCGCCAACTGATCGAAACGCAAACATTTGCATCAACCTTAATACGTTATTATGGGTCGTCAGAAAAAATGATAAGAAACCGCAATCGCTTGTTTATGCACATATAGAAACTTCAAGAAACATTCCGGTTGGACTGGCCTAATCGCAATTTTAAGCCAATTTAAACGTGACTCATTCCCATTGGAAGATTTTTAAAAACAAAACACATGAATACAAGCATGTTTTGGCTTTTCACCTTTGGATTTGACCAGCTAATTATGATGTTACAAAAGGGTTAAAGTTCTTTTGGAAAGAGGGTTTTGGTACCATCTGGATTTTTAACTTTTTTTAATTCCAATGTCAACAAGTTTTGACTGCCGCGTGCTTTTCACCGGCCCCCCAATTCCCGCACCATAAAGCCCTCACACAAAAGAGTTGCTATGCATACACACACAAGCTCACTTACACACATGTCGATTATGCAAGCAAAAAAAAAAAAAATAATTTAATAAGTAACTATGAAATGCCAGAAATATGAATATTTCGTATGTTTTTTTTTACAGTTCTTTTAATGTAATGCTTGTATGATGGTCTAAAACAATAGTTTACAAATTATAAAAACGTTTTCAACAATTTTGGTACATCGTTCTCGAATCGAAATCAAATAATGGTTATGGTTTCAGCTTGTTTACGTTTTGAATCGTGGGGTTTTCAGGGGAGGGGTTACATCGAGAAGTCGGAAATTCGGGAAAATCGGTAAAAGCGTAAGAGCTAGTGCTAAAAATATATTCCTCTTTCTTCGCGACCTGGCAATGACTTTTCCTGGAGTGTCTGCGTTATTCCCCTAATCACCTCGTTTCAATTCTTTCGAAAATCGTATATAGTATATATAGAGTGTATTACGAGCGCATATATCTATAGAAACATTTGTGTATTTTCTTGGGAGGGCGGCAGAAATTAGAATGTGTGTGTGTGTGTTGTTTGGACTGTAGTTGTTCGGTTTTTTGTTTTTTTGGTTAAGGAAACGTGCTTTAATCGCTTTGGAAAATACATTTGACGGTTCCAAACTATTACTATAAGATTAAGATTGAAGGGTTCCCTTAGTTTGTTAAATATAGTTATTATGCTTATGTGTTCTGTTCAGCGCTCACTCGGATGCCTTTATTTTTTGTATTTTAGTATAGTGTGTAGCATGACCCCCAAAAAGTGGCTAAAGGGAGCCCGAAGGATGGCCCATCCAGGCACGTACCGCCACAGTCCGGAGTGATTCCGATTTGGTTACGGAACGGCGAGTAGTGGTACTGGGTATGGTTGGTGTAATTCCGACTGCCGGAGGGGTGCGTATGCCTGTATGGCCGCCCCTTCTGTTTGCTCCCTGGCCGTATGTTTTGTATGTGTTTTTGTGTTCGGTGTTTTTGTGTGTGTGGTGTTGTTTTTAGGTGATTCGTCCTGGCTATTAAGCGGAGGCCGCCACCTCACCGGACTTCTCCTCCTTTGTGCCAGCAATGGCCACCTCCTCGAAGTTCTCCACCAGATCGGGCACATCATCATCGCCGGCATCGACGGCCGAGGAACCGGCTGCGCCGCCGGCGGCGCTCTTGTTGGCAATCTCCGTGGCCAGCTTCTTCAGCTGGTTGATGTCCTGGGGTCCTAGTTGCGTCAGGATGCCGGGAACCATCTCGGTGATCGTCTTGTTCTCACCGTGGCCGGTGATGGCGAACGTGTTCGTCGGCAGCGAGGCCTGGGCCTTGGGATTGTTGAAGTGGATGACGGTGCCATCGTTCTTGATGATGTTCACCTCCTCGATGCCGGGAATGGTGTTCACCGACAGCTTCTTCAGCGACGACTGCAGCTTCTTGTCGTCGGTGGCGGGCGTGGAGTGAACAATCTTCTTCTTGCGGCGGGGGGTTCCCTTGCCGCCAATGCGCACCTGCGCCTGCAACTTCTTCAGCTTCTCCGGATTCATCTGTTCAACGAAATACACACAAAACACCGATCAGTAACGACCCAATCAAATAGCGCACAATCTGATAATTACTTTGATTTTACTATAATTTAGCACAGAGCCTTGCCCGAAAACACGTGCGCCCAGTTGTAGTCAAATGTCAAAAAGAAATCGCCATGATAAAAATGGCAAAGCAGTATGTATATGTGAGTAGTACTGGTAAACAGTACTAAAAATCAGTGTTGACTATCGATAGCAACGATAACGAGAGAAAAATAAAGTAAATTAAGTTTTTAATCTGCCATTAGGATTAAATAAAAATAAAATAATAAATTTAAATAAATTTAAAATAAAACCAATCGTTTTTTTGTCATTCACTTTAACTTGTCAGTTTTACACCTCATGAAAAATGTATCATTCTAATTTAAACTTATTTATATAGAAACAAGGAACATTTATGTTTATAATATATATATTAATAAATAAATAATAATATATAAAATTTAAATTTAAACTACAATCGATAGTTTACAAACACAGCTGTTCGTGAGCTCACTAAACACAGCTTCACCAAGCAGTGCTGCAAAACGTTTTTGAAAAACAGCATATTGCAGCACTGCACTTATCGTGCTAAATAAAAAGTTATTATTTGCAGATTAGTCGCTGATAAGATATTATAGCCGAATTTGATCAGGCTTCAATAAAGGCCCTCCGATTGGGTTAGGTATTATTCCGTTGTGTGTCACATGTGCTTCGATGAACCTTTTTGAAATTCTGGTAATTAAGCAGTGAATTTTTGGTGCATTAAACTGCAACAAGTGGAATTTTCGATTATACATTTTCAAAACGGAATACCAGTAATCGTTTGTCAAACGTGAGTATTTCATCAGGGGTTATTGACCATGAATAATAATAATAATTTGTATTGTGAACTCTCGGCCCAGTGGATTACATTGACTTGGAGGATACAGAGGACTTCGCAATGGATTTCTGGGGAATATTCATGTTTTTTCTGCTAACTTTCCTCATTATGAGTTGCTGCGGATATTGCTGTACCAGCAGACGCCAGGGTGCAGTTTTGTCCAGTGAGTATTTGTATAAATTTGAGCTATTAATCAAATTAACACCCGCGATGACTCATTTCCCCACAAGAAAAAAAAAAAAACGGGTGGAGTTTGTCCGGCTTAAAATACAAATTTTAGTTTTCTTCATGCTTGTATGCGTGAGATTGTTCTATTGTTGTTTTGTGCTGAGTCGTGATAAATAATAAAATACAGTTATAATAAACCGAGAGACTAGAAAACTGAAGAGCGAGCTTTTTCTTTGTCTCTCTCTTGAAGTTTTGCTTCTCCGACGATTCGTAAACAAAATCAATTATGCTCAGCCATAAAAAAAATTCACTTTTTCAGCATGTGTCCAAGTAATTATAATTAATTATAATTAAGTTTATTTATACATTTATCGAAACGAACTTGTATCTTATCTAATCCTACATAATGGGGGGTCTCTTTTTGTCTAGGATTTTCCCATTTCACCATCAAAATCGGTTCACTCTGTACTCTTTATAATTTCAATATATTTCTCTACTAAATTAAATGACTCATACAGTAGCGCTCGTCGATAACAAAATTATATTTATTTTGGAGATAAGCAAGTGACAATTGTATCCAAGGCATAGAAAAATTACCTTTTCCAGTATTCGTCCGACTTTAAAACCGTTCGTGTCTGTAAAAACAACTCTTTAATAATGGTTTACATATACTTCGATGTGTGGTTCCCCATTAGTATGGTGTTCTTTATAGTGGTTTTGATACTGATCCTGTTTCGGGTTCGTCGATCCCGTCGACTTCGAATGGGCAACGCCACAGTGGTCACCGCCGGTAAAAGCAGCTTATTAAATAATCATCTTGGGATGATCGGTGGTCTAATCACCAATTCTGGTTATAGTCCAAGGCAGCTGAGCTATCGAAATATAATCACAAGTGCTCGAAGAATAAGGCGTCATTTGCATCGAGCGCCTTTGATTATCGCCTTAATTTACAAATCATTTATGTTTTCCTCCATCAAATCGAATGAGACCATCTGTATTAGCAAACGTTTGACGTCAAAGCCTTTTTTTTCGTTCTTCTTTCTTCTAGTGTTATGATATTAAATTATATTTAGTGGTGTTTAAATTAGGCGATAGGGTTTTGATTAGATGCCCACAAATAGTTGCTTCGAGGTCATGCGGAAAACCAATAAATTCTGTGTTTTACAATGCGTTAACAGCAGAAGAGTTTAATTTGTGTTTCTTTATTTATTAAGATTTTAAGTTTTTTAATTTTAGTACAGTTTCAAATTGTTGAATAAAATTAATATTGCCCATTTCGAAAAATAATTGTTGAAACTTATAATGACTGACTGATTTAAAAATAATTTTGTAACAAGATTTTATTTAAAATAGTTTAAACTATACCTCGAGAAAGTAAATCTTGAAACATTTTTGAGCTGCATTTGTCTTTATAGTTATCAATGTAGTAAATAGTTTAGTCTTAGAAGATTTATTATACCAATCTAGTTTTCACTCTAAACTAATTTTTACTTATTTGTGCCGTTTGGTTTAAAGAGATAAAATAAAAAAATTAAAAACAAATTTGATTACAAAATTTGTAGGAAGTGGTTAAATATTATCGAAAATAATAAAAGAACAGAATTTCATTAAAGCAGTACTTGCTTGTTAGTTAAACCATATACCGACTTCAAGCAAAGATACTTTTTTTAGAAAAAAGATACTTTTGCGCAGATTGTCAACAATGAGATTGTTGTATTAGTACTGGAGTAAGACTTTAAATTTCTCTGTTTTCGAAAAGTATTGGGGCCAATGCTTTTCCTTTTCGTTTTTATTGATTGCTAGCTTGTATCGATAAGCGCAACTAACTTATTTGATTACTACTGACGTCAGTGCCGACCGCAGATTTGTGGGAATTGTAGAGGGCAATGGCACTGAGTTCAGGATGAATCCCCAGAAAGTAATAAAATTCGAAATCTAAAACACATTTTCTCTTTTGATTGATGCGGACTATTGACGCAGGTTTCAAGCTGTAAATACAATGTCCACTTGAGAACTTTTATGGTTCCCCCCGATTCTATGCTAGCTTTTGACACCGGTATCAGGACTATATGGCGTCTTTAAGCCGATTAAACGTGCAGACCGTCACCACCGATACAACACTTGTGTGCTTATCTAATCGGGTATATTTACCCACCGCTTTGAACTGCCTTCGGGTCTGTGCAAAATCCGGGGACCGTCTGGACTCTTACAAAAGTCGGCGAGGAAGCTCATCCATTCCGCAAACACCGTCGAACGTCTGCGCAATGAACACTGGAAACGCTTCGCAATTTCACATTACCGTGGCGTAGATTCAATACCCATCGAAGAACCCTCAAGACTGCCTACCAATCGAATCTTTTAGTTAGTAACTTGTTGTAAAATAGTAGTAACTGCTTTCGAAAAGATGCCGCATGTGCCGGGCGAAAAGGATCTGGAGGTCTCCACGATCGTCCTGTGCTCCATATTCACTGTGGTTCTCTCCGGAGTTCTGGTGCTCATAATCCGCTCAGCGATCCGCAAAAGGAACCAAAGGCTGGCCGACAAGGGCGTGGTCGAAGCAAGTTAGTATATATAGTCCACTGGAGAAGTCGAAGTCCTCTGATTTGTTCCTGTTTCTTGTCTTGCCAATTTTGTCGCCGACTGAGATTTGTGTTACAAGTTTCTTTGTGTTGTTTTGTCCAAAATGTTGGAAAACAATCCAGTTAATATTAAGAAACGTCTAAATATTTAACTCGTTTTAATTATTTGTTATTGCTTAAGAATTTTGTGTTATTCTTGTACAACTACTTTATAATTTAAATACATTCTAATTGGAGAGTAATTTGTTAAACAAAATCTTGATCTCCATCTGTTTTTTTTTTTGGAAATCTTTAGCAAATTCCAAAAGCAGGCTGTATAGATGTCACAACTGATTTCTATGAAAGTTGAACAAATAGTGAAAAAGACTTATTCAAAACATTTCCTGCAAAAAACCTTTTTGTAGTTTATTGTTTGCGTTGTTTCTAATAACAATTTCTAAATACAGTTTTGGATTAGTTCGACCATGGATATTTCCCCCTTATTAATTTGGTTTGGTTTGCTTATCCTTGTAATAATGCTCTTCGAAATATTTCGTGGAATTCATAAAAGTCAAGCCGCACATGCGTGTGTATTAATGTTGTTTAAATCCAAGAAAATTTTGTGTTCAATTGTCCAAAAACAAATAATAAACAAGAAAGAAAGCAAACTTCGGCAAGCCGAAGTTCATATACCCTTGCAGCTATTGCATGAATTAAATACTTTTGAAAACATTTAAATTATGATTTACTTCAGTATATACTGAAAAACAGTGAAGCTATGATGATTTGCAGCTCAATTATTAGATAGTTATTTTATATATTTTTATTAGTTCTATGGGAGCTATATGATATAGACGTCCGATTTTGATAAAATTTAAACCATAATTCTGAAATAATTAAACATTGCCATATGTCGAAGAACTAAACAAAAAATTAAAAAACAGAAAAGTTATAATTTTTTTTCATTTATTTCTCCGATTGTTCCTATGGGAGCTATATGATATAGTCGTCCGACTTTGATGAAATTTAAACCGTAAATCGAAAATATTTAACCATTACTAAATGTCGAAGAACTAAACAAAACATTAAAAAACAGAAAAGTTATAATTTTTTTTCATTTATTTTTCCGATTGTTCCTATGGGAGCTATATGCTATAGTCGTCCGATTTTGATGAAATTTAAACCGTAAATCGGAAATATTTAACCATTACTAAATGTCGAAGAACTAAACAAAAAATTAAAAAACAGCAAAGTTATAATTTTTTTCCTTTATTTTTCCGATTGTTCCTATGGGAGCTATATGCTATAGTCGTCCGATCCGGCTCGTTCCGACTTATATACTACCTGCAATAGAAAGACAACTTTTGGGAAAGTTTCATGCAGATAGCTTTAAAACTGAGAGACTAGTTTGCATATAAACGGACGGACAGACGGACAGACGGACAGACGGACAGACGGACAGACGGACGGACAGACGGACATGGCTAGATCGACTCGCCTAGTGATGCTGATCAAGAATATATATACTTGTCGGAGAGTATGTAGTGCAGCATTTCGACAGGTATGACCATGGGTTGTGCTGGTATACTAGATATACTAGATATTAGTTTTGGTAGAATGGGGACTCAGTTTGCGAGCTGAGGCCGAGTGTGGCTTCGTATGCGTTGCTAGGTCTGGTCTCTCCTTTTTCTTCTGGTTTGTAGTGTGACGTGAGATAGACACGTGTTTTGGTCCTTAAGAGAGAATTATGAGCAACAAAGGCATCGAAGACTCGCTGCATTTGCCAGAATTAAGTTCAGGCAATCAAGAACCAAACGATCAATTCACCAGCAATGACGACTTACAAGGGGATGAATTTAGTTCTCCGACATCAGAAGTGGGATTCGGCCCTAACCAAACTTTGTCAAGGGATGTCTTCGCGTTGTTGGAGCAACAAAACCGGAATTTTCTGGAACTGGTTAAGAAACTACAGATGCCGGCGAGCACAGTACAACAGACTGGCGAGATTTGCTTGCCGAAATATAATCCGGACATTGCTGGGGTGGATGCCACGCAGTGGTGCGCTACGGTCGACATAATTTTACGAACGAAACCGCTAAGTGACAGCGCTCTTATATTAGCGCTGAGTAAGGCCTTGGAAGGCACAGCGGCCCAGTGGTTGTCACAAATATGCTACCCAGGAATAACTTGGCAACAGTTCCGGCAATTATTTGAGCAGCGTTTCGAGTCTTCAGAGACGCCAGCCGCTGTTATTTTTAATCTTCTAAATAGTCGCCCAAGGAACGGTGAGAGCTTGCCTGTTTTTGCGAGCCGCAGCGTGACGTCACTGTGCACAAAATTGCGTAATTTAAATTGTGAACAAATTTCCATCGCTTTGATTCTTGGGCATATGGCTAATTTCGACCGGCGTTTACAACGAATGATACACACAACGCAT